AAGGAAAGTCGCTTTAATAAATTGTGCTGGGGAAACTGGAATACCACCTGCAAAAGAATGAAACTAGACTGTTGTCTATCACCACACACCAAAAATAACTCAAAATGGATTAAGGACCTGAATATAAGACCTGAAACAATAAACTGCATAGAGAAAACATAGGAACTAAACTCAAGGACCTTGTACTTAAAGATTTTATGAATGTGACCTCAAAGGCAAGGGAAGTAAAAGTTAAAATAAAAAAATGAGACATCAAACTAAAAAGCTTCTGCTCAGCAAAAGAAATCATCAACAAAGTAAAGAGACAACCATCCAAATGGGAAAATATATTTGCAAGCAACGCATCCGATAAGGGCCTAATTACCAAAATCTACAAAGAACTGATATGACTCAATAACCAAAAAAAACCGATCCAATCAAAAAAATGGTCAGTGGACCTGAACAGACACTTCTCCCTAGAGGACATACAATTGGCCAGCAAATATTTGAAAAAATGCTCAACATCACTAGCTATTATAGAAATGCAAATCAAAACCACAATGAGATACCATCTCACATCTGGTAGAATCAAGACAAGTAATAACAAATGTTGGAGAGGATGTGGAGAAAAAGGAACCCTCATACACTGCTGGTAGGATTGCAAATTCGTACAGCCACTATGGAAAACAGATGGAGGTTCCTCAAAAAATTATGAATTGATCTACCATATGATCTAGCAATCCCACTACTGGGTATTTACCCCGAAGACTTGAAAACCCATATCCAAAAAGATATTTGCACACCGATGTTCCGAGCAGCATTATTCACAGTGGCCAGGACATGGAAGCAACCAACTGTCCTATGATAGATGATCGGATAAAGAAGCTGTGGTACATATATACAATGGAATATTATTCAGCCATAATAAGAGATGAAATACTGCCATTTGTGACAACATGGATGGACCTTGAGATAAGCGAAATAACTGAGACAGAAAAAGTTGAAAATCACATAATATCACTCAAATGTGGTATATAAAACTAAAAGGAAAAAAATTTTTTCTGCAAGTCTAAGCTTATTTGAAAATTAAAAAGGAAAAATTTAAAAAATCCCACCTTTTAATCACCTTTCAATTATCTATTATCTATATCCAAGCAACAGGTGTTTTTAGTATTGTTTCTTCTATTTCATTTTTCTAAGAAGCCACTGTAGATAAACACAACTAATACTAGAAGACACATCTGGAAGTTTCAAATTCAGCTTCTGTACTGCCTCCTGCCCAGGTAAGTTTTAATATAAACACTTATGAACAAAAATTAAGTTAAGCATAATCTCATCCTTCCATTTTAATCACAATGTATGAAGTAGAATTTCTTTTTAATACCATTTTACAGATGATGGAACTAAGGTACAGAAAAGTTGATAACTTTATCCAAATATGTCAGCTAAGAATAACTAACCTAGCAAAGACCAGGGCCAGTCTGGCTCTAGAACTCAAGCTTTTGCCCTCATGCTGTTTCACCTTCCTACAACATATTACACAAATCAAGTTTAGACTATTAAAACTGTAATTTTTATGACATAGATAAAAACTGCTGACATGCGGTCATGTTTTCCTTTAAACATTATAGACTTAGTAAACAAGGATTATGTTACCTACTTATAAATTGTAGCTCAAATTTACCTCAAGACCGGTTATTTTCTGATCATACATTTACTATTTGTGCCTGTTTTATGCATGGACCCCGAAAATCCCAAGATTCACTGCACTCTATTGTTTTTTTCAGGGTTTACATACAGCTTAATATGAATGGAGGAACATATTATCATGAAAATGATTTGCGAATAATGTGAATTAATGTTACCAATATTAAATTTTATTTTGTACTTTTCTTTCAAACTCTTGTCTAAATACATTAACAAAACCCCTTCCAGTCCTATCTGTTTTTAAGCTCAGATAACATTATTCTCCCTTTCTTTGTGTGTGTGTTTTTTTGTTTTAAACACGCTACATCTTCCCTTAGGCTCCCGCAATAATAAAACTGAAACAAATTATCATAACTGCCTGAATTTCAATATGCTCCTATGGAAAAGAGAAAAAGGCACTAGTCCAACACAGTTGCCCACTGTGACTTAGCAAAAGGTAAGTCTACGACGACAGTGCCGAACATGTTAACAGGTGAATGGAAAAACCATCGCAGAGGGGCCTCGCCATCCTTGTTCTCCTCTCCCGACGCCTAAAGCCACCGGGAGACAGGCGACCGCGACCTTGCTGCTGCAACCCAAGCCGGGAAGGCCTCGATCCTCCACTCTCCCCGTAGGCTCAAGGCCCAGTTGCAGTCTGGGTTTAAAAGAACAAGGTGTTGAAAGGCTTCCATCACTCCCGGATTTCCCAATGTGCAGGGAGTAGAAAGGAAAAACCGAGGCGACAGGAGGTTCCATTCAAAAGTGGCGGAGACAAGGCCTGCTGGGTTTGAATAACGCAGGGCAGAAGGCCATAAAACTAACCCGCACAGAAATAAGGCGTAAGAGTGACCGAGTGAGGATGCCTGGTGTTTCAAGCCTCAGAAGGCGTCACCTCTCGCCAAGGCCTGAGAGGCGCAGGGTCAAAGGCCGCCGGCAGGGGAGCGGCGAGCAGATTGGCCGGCGGAGGAGGGCAGAGGCGCTGCGAGTAGGCCCCGTGCCCGCCGCGATCGCGTTGGCGGGGCCCTGACTCCCCCGCTTTACTCACCAGGGTCTGGGAATCCGGCCACGGGAGGTGTAAAGGCTGAAAGTACAGCAAGAAAGAGGACAGAACGCGCGGGGCGCGGGCCGCGAGCCCAGCCAGGCCCGCCTCCCAAAACCTGCGTGCGGAGCGTTCC